AGTGAGTTTGTTTGGCCCCTTTATCAAAGATTAGGTGGCTGAGTGTGTTTTTGGTTGTGGCTGTTTCTTCCAGTCTGTTCCATTGATCCTCAGGTCTGTTTTTTAGCCAGTACCAGGTTGATTTTATGACAGTAGCTTTGTAGTATAATTTCAGGTCCGGTTTGTGATTCCACCTGATTTGTACGTGTTGCCCAGGATTGCTTTTGTTATTCTGGGTCTCTTCTGGTTCCAGATGAATTTAAGGTATGTTTTCTCTAGATCTGTGAGGTATGCTAATGGTAGTTTAATGGGAATTGCATTGAATATGTACAGCATTTTTGGGAGTATGGCCATTTTCACAATGTTGGTTCTTCCTATCCATGAGCAAGGAATATTTTTCCATTTACTGAAATCTTTGATCTCTTTTTTCAGAGTACTGTAGTTTTCACTGAATAGGTCTTTTACTTTTTTTTTTTTAGATTGATTCCTAAATATTTCAATTTCTTGGATGTTATTGTGAAAGGTATGGTTTCCTTAATTTCTCTCTCCATCTGTTTGTTGTTTGTGTAGGAATGCTATCGACTTTTGGGTGTTGACTTCGTGTCCAGCTACACTTCTGAATTCATTGATTAATTCAAGGAGTCTTCTTGTGGCGTTTTTGGGGTCTTCCATGTAAAGTATCACGTCATGTGCAAATAGTGATAGCTTTACTTCTTCCTTTCCTATCCTTACTCCTTTTATTTCTCTCTCTCTTGTCTAATTGCTCTGGCTAGTGGTTCCATAACTGTATTAAACAGGAGTGGTGGCAGCGGACATCCTTGTCTTGTTCCAGATTTTAGAGTAAAAGCGTTCAGTTTTTGTCCACTTAGAATGATGTTGGCTGTTGGATTGTCATAGATGGCTTTGATCAGGTTAAGGTAAAGACCATCTATTCCTATTTTCTGTAGCGTTTTTATCATAAATGCATGTTGTGCCTTGTCAAAACCTTTTTCTCCATCTATTGAGATGGTCATGTGGTTTTTGTCTTTGGCTCTACTGATATGGTGTATAACATTTATAGATTTGTGAATATTGAACCAGCCCTGCATTCCTGGAATGAATCTGACTTGGTCATGATGTATGATTTTCTTGATAATTTGCTGCATTCTATTTGCTAGTATCTTATTGAGCATCTTTGCCTCTATATTCATTAGGGAGATTGGTCTGTAGTTGTCTTTCTTGGT